GGGAAAAGTCCGGCTTCTTTTTCTCCCAGGCGTTCTAATCAGTAAATCGGTTAATAAATCAGACTGACTTGCTTCCTTTACGATTCTCCAAACAGTAGACACAGAAGTTTTGCTAACTCTAGCTACCCGTTTTATTAATTCTAATTTTTTTCAGTTTGCTATGTTCGTACTTCATAAAACAATACACGTCAAAAACCATTTTGTGCTTGTCCGTCCGTGCTTGCCTTCGTAGTGTACGTTGCAAAGGGGCCATTCTTGTAGAAAATAACAAAATATTTACAATTTTATACAATATATTACGAACTACGCTATTTTAAATAGTCCAAAAATAATTTACAAAACAATAAATATTTACACACTATTTGCAAATATTATACAACAATATTTTTAAAAGTCTAAAAATCCATTAATAATCTTAAAATTTAAAAATTTTATAACAGGTGGTCGCTAACACTTTCGATATCGATAGTACGCAAAACGACACGAGAGCGTGCGCGGGCGACGGGACGCAAGGAGACACTACACGGAGATAGCGCGTCGCCCGTTGCTATGGTTTCGGTTCCACGTACCTTATACCGCATCGTGCTGACACCTGTTTTTCGCTTCTGCGCAGTTTCATGACTCGTGGAGCTACCTATAACACGTTACACATGTTACATAATAAGTAGATATTCATACTAATTATGTAAGGTGTGGGAGACCGGGTCAAGACGAAGCTCGGGGCAGGGCGGGAGTGTGCTTGTTTGCGTGACTCGTGAACGCAACAGAGCCTAACACGGCGCTATTCGCACGGTAATCAGTCGCGTCATACGAGCCCGAGCGGTGCGGAGCTCTGCGTGTTTTAGCATCGCGGCGAGAAAAATCTGTGTTTTGGAGGATTTTTACGAAGTTTTCTGTTTTAAATCGATGTGCACGAAGGTAGGTATTAGTGCTAATGTAAAATTTTACCGCATACTTGTTGTAGTAGCGTAAAATTAATGCATTTTGATAGATTTTTCGTTGAATAATTTTGTAGGTTAGAACAGTTATTATTTTCTCAAAATGTTTCTGTTGGGGCACTAAGGTCGGGGCATAATGGGATAGTATCCCGTTTTGCTCCCTATGTTTAGATTTTTTTAACACATATATAATGACAAATTTATGTTTTGTTTGCAGTTACAATGGTACGAAATTATAAACATATAACGGATCGGTGGAGCCGTGCTTTCTGAGACAATGGGATTTTTTAGAACCTCAGCTACATATAACGTGCCTAAATCAACCATCGAATGACGAGTGAGAAACGCCCGATGTGCTGAAGATGCCAATACTGGTGCAAATAATGACTATGAGAAAAATAAAATAAGGACGCTAAAAAACAGTTTTTAATAAAAATAAGAAGAAGGACTATCTCAGTACATTCAATCAATGGAAGCGCGCCTTTTTGGAATAACTGGTAGAGCTTCTTCTGGATTTTAGCTGTTAGCTGAAAGAAACCATATTGAGAACCCATGCAACGGAGAGACTGGAGTGGCTGAAGAAGACTGGCTCAGTGTATTCCTAAAAAGGCACCCTGAACTTTCATTTAAACGACCAGAATCTACTTCTGCTGCAAAGGCAATGGTTTTAATAAAGTGGCAGTAAATGAGTTTTTCACATTATTGGAAAGAGTTGTAGTAGAGCATGGCCTTACCGCTGATAGAATTTATAACGTCGATGAAACCGCTGTTAGTACTGTGCCAAAAAGTCAGTCAAAGATTTTCTCACTCAAGGGTCAAAAGCAATTTAGTTGCTTTTCATCTGCAGAAATGGGGCAATAAATTACGGCTGAAATCTGTTTTAACGCCGCTGGAACATATATACCACCAATGCTAATCTACGCTCGAAAACGAATGAAGAATGGGTTTCTAGATGATGCAAAAAAAGTGACAATGGTTGGATAATTTCACAAATAGTCTATGATTGGTTCAAAAAGTTTGTAGAAACCGTAAAAGCCACTAAATAAAAAAACATTCTTGTTGCTACTGGACGGTCATACGTCACACACAAAAATATTTGATAGATTACGCCAGGGAGCATCATGTAATACTGTTGTGTACACCACCCCATTGCACACATAAATTACAATTATTGGATGTAGCATTTAAGAGATCGCTGAGTACTTATTATGGTACAGAAGTGAAAAAGTGGCTAAGAGATCATCCTGGACGCGGAATATCGGAAGTAACCCAAGATGAACCAATAATTTCAGCACAAAAAGATATTTCTGCTGATCGTTCAGCTGCGGAACCACTGAGCGCGGAGGTTTTGCCACAGCCTTCGACTTCTGCACACTAAATTAAGGAAAACACCCTTGAGAAATAAACACAGAAATCAAAATATACTTTTTCCATGACCCCAGAAAATATCATAGCTATACCCAGGGAAGTAAGAATCCAAGGGAGAAAAACAAGAAAAACTGCAATACTTACAGCTTCTCTGTACAAGAATGATCTCATCACAGACATAAATAAAAGACAAAAAGTAAATAAGGCGACTGACAAAAAGAAACCTGACAATAAAAAGACTGAAAAAAATCTGAAAAAAAAAAGAAGACTGAAGAAAAGAATAAAAGCAAGAAACTTAAAAAGAAAGTGACCCGGATACTAATTCATCTGAAGACGTTTAAAATGGTTGTCCTTGCATATATTGCAGGGTTATTTGTAGCGTGTGCCACGGCTGGGTTCATAATTCCTGCGCAAGTGTAAACGATGACGATGAAGAGGCACATATATGTGAACGTTGTCAACCAGATTAAAATGTGTACCCATAGTATTTCCCATTTTGCCTCCATCAGGGGGCAAGATGGGATATTTGACATGTGTCATCTAGTTCATTTATGTGCCAAAAATATGCGATTTAGCGGTATAAAAGATTATAATTATTTTATTTAAAACTGTGTTCCTTGGTTGTAAGAGATTTTTAATAAACGTTATGATTTTCATATTATGACGTTTTTTCTCTTAAATATCCCACCTTACCCCTGCCTCCCCTACCTATTATGCAACGTAAATATGAACGTAGTAAACAAAATATGAACGTGGTAAACAAAATATGAACGTGGTTTTCGTATTATTAAAAATGGTTGGTTTTATGATAGTTTTGTTTTGACGTAAAATATCATTGAGTATTATTAATAATAATTTGTGAATGAAACTACTGATCTATTTTTTATTGTTAATAACGAACTAATTCTCCTGCAAGCTTTTTAACATGTTAATATCAAATTTTAATTAGTAACCATTTTGTTGTAATATTACTAAAACTATTTTTTATTTTTAAGGCAATCTGATGGTGATGCAAAGTGTCTGGCCAAATCCAACCTCTCCGACGGTCTCTCAAAATATTAGAAATAATTAAGTGTGCAGGACATAAAGATGCCATATGTATTTATCATCTCAGAAGCACTTGTTTTTTATAACTCGTATTGTCTCAGATTATGTGATAATCTTAAGACTTATGTGATAATCTGTTTCTGTGTTATATAACTGAAAGAAAATTTCTTCGTATAACTTATATTTCAAAGATGTTCCAAGCATGCTCTATAAGATGATGAGATTAGAGAAGTATACCAGTCCTACACTAGTCTCTTATTTACTAGTCGTACACTATCCCAGCGATATGAAGACGGATGTTCTTTTGCATAAAATCGCTATAATTACCTAACAATTTATTCTTGAGTTCTTCATAGACTCTACTTTGGTAGTCATAGTGCCATTTTATACATGCACTAGGTCAATGTGGCTTTCTCGAGTAATCTCGGAAGTTCAGCTCTACGGAATATTTTATCCAATACAGGTTTACGTAAATCACTCATTTTTGTTACCTACTATCGGGCTAATTTAGGATCTAGACTTGTCTGAGAAGGCCGTTGGTAGGTTACCTTACATTCAGTAAAAATTCTCTTTGTCTATCAATTTGTATCTCCGTTTGCAAAAAAATGTTTTTTAGATAATTGATAGAATCAGGCGTTACTTTGCGGAAATCAATTATAATAAAAAACAAAAATATAAATTTCTTCGCAACCGTTTCGTTGCGAAGAAATTTATATTTTTATTTTTTATTAAAATGTTTTTTTTTCATTTTGACCTATCAATACAAACCAGCTTCAGAGAGTCGTTATCGATATTCTTGCGTTACTATCTTCAAGGTTCAGAACGTGATTTCTCGGAGCAACTGACAACGAAACCAATTTTGGAGTATTATTAAGAGTTTAGTGGCAGTGTAAGAATATCCACTACCCCATATCATCCCGTGGGTGTCGTAAGAGGCGACAGGGGGAAACAAATCAGGAGATGAGCAGCAGCGTCTTCCTAATAACGACTAAAATAAAACTATGAGAGTCGTCGATATAAACAGTAACTACCTACTTCAGACTGGATAGAATTAAGAACCATAAGCAAATAAAATCCGTAATAGATAGACTCATAAAATTATAGAAATTAAGTAGTTGTGATAATAAGGTTCATTAAATTATCTACCTAAATCACAATCAATGGGTGCGTTTGGCAGAAAAAAGCGCTAGCAAGCGCTTATAAGCGCTAAAATAGTTTTCGGCCAGGACACGATTCCTACTTCAGTAGCGCTGACACAATCCGCCATTTTGCTTATTTAATTTGTTTGTTTTGAAGTAGAGTTTATAAGTTGTTTTGTGCAATATTAGTTTTAAGTAATATAATGACATGAATAAACATATACATGTTATTAAAAATTCATGATTGGTAAGTTTTTAATATGAATACTTTACAAACATATATTTAAATTAGGTTAGGTTCCCCCGTTAAAACTAACATCGTGTCCTGGAGGAAAATAGCTACTTATGATTTGACAGCGCTTACCGCTTACGATCGCCATTTTGCTTACAAGCGCTTGCTAGCGCTTTTTTCTGCCAAACGCACCCAATCGAACGTAATTCCCTAGCTAGATATGATAAAGGATTTTATCCTTGCAAAATCCGTTCCATAGTCTTGCTTAGTACGATAATGATTAAGCTCGCTGTTTTCTTTGTTCACAGTCCGCCAGGAGAACGAGCGCATGATGCTCGACGCCCTTCAGGTGGGAATCGTAAATCGCACCCAGTTGTCGGAGGCATTTCGCTGACGCCGCGCTATTCGCCGCGCCCCCGGCTCGATAACATCAGACCGGCCGCCGCGCCTCCTGAAGAACCACCTGATTTGTGGCTATCAGCTGAGACAAAAGCTCCGAATTCAGAGACCAATACCGGCGTTAATAATGTACCCGGAGCCCACGATGCCAATTATGCGATTGAGCTGCCGGTGAGCGAAACCCCAGCAGGCCAACCGGTATCGGTGTCATGAGTGTCATCAAATAATATATCAGAGTGAAGTATAAGCGCTGGCCTGTTTTGTTTGTATGCGGATAGTATGTTATTACGGATGCCAAACTATCCGTAATTAGAACTTTGATTCTCGACGAGCAATGGTGTAAATCATTTCCAGCAAGAACATTATGAAGGAGAAGTGATGTGTTAGCATAAATTTATTTAAAATGAAGTGAAATTAGAAAAAAAAACGAATGATATTGTTGAAAAGTATCGGGTATATATTAAAAATAAATAAAAGACAGTTTCTTATCCCGATTGCGTAGAAATTAGTACTAACATGGAAGCCAATGGTAAGATTAAAATACAGCCCCTAGTACGCAACCATAGAATACTATACCTAATACATACATAATAGAACGGGGGAGTGGGCGGAGCCCGCGTAGCCACTAAAATGTCACTAACACGTCAATTCACACGCATAAATGTCAACTCGAGATGTGTTTTGACGTTACAATCGTTTCCAAATTTCGCATTCAAATTATTTAGATTATTTTTTGAATCGCTACCACAGCTTTTTGGAAATTGATATCTACGTGTAATTAATAATTTAATCGATAAGATAAATACTGGAATTATATTAAAACATTATATTATAAAGTTACTATGTTACTTATATTAAAGCCTATTGATGTTGTTCTAGGGGTAAAGGTTAATAAAAAAACCTGTAAACCTTGTGTTAGGTTAACATAAGTAATATTAGATATATTATGCGTTACTTTCTTAAAACAAAACTGTTTTGCTAATTTTCGTTGTGATATCTTGTTTAAAAAAAAGTATAGAATAAATTAAAATTATTTAATTCAAAAAGCTTAAGCGCAATGTATTAATTTATTTGTTAATCAGTGTTACAAATAATCATGTCGTGTAATTAGTTTAATTGGTAAGAATGTATTTATCGGTGCGGGCTTTCAACAAAATAAACATATTTCGGGAGGACTTTAAAATATTCATTGAATAAACAAAAGCTTTGAATGTCGCTTGATGTACTTATGCAGTGTAAGTAATCCCTTTTATAGAACATTCCTTAGATGCTGTCAAACCATCATAATGTTAATATTTTGTTAATATAGCTTACTCTAAACTCTCACTGCCTCTTTACAAAAACTAAGATTAACCCCACTTCAGTCTACGAATATAAAGTCTTATTATGTAACAAATGACAAAAAATACCGTATAGTACCGTTCTTTGAGTTCACGTTAAAAAATCCTATATACGTTTGATTGATTATAAAAAAAAATTAAAGTTACTATTTGTCTTAGTTTCAATGCAAAAATTATTATATCGTTGATATCTTCTTGAAATAGGTGTATCTTTCCGAATACGAGTAACAATACCATCAAGTAAAGAAAAGGAATGTGTGCGCGAAATTTAAAACATCAAATATCGTTTGAAAGTTAGAAATATATTCTCGAAAGAAGAAAGATATTTGAATGGAAACTAAAGAGTAAAAATTTGAATTCCAGATAAAAATTGTCTTCAAATATTGAAAGTTTTCCGGTATATTTTTTATTATTTATTCAAGTATCTATTTATTAAGGTAAATAAGTCATATAATGTTGTTTTTATGGGCGTGTAATTCAAGTAAAACAATTATTAAATAACATAAATTACATCAATCATCATGTCAATCATTATGTATAGATGGATAAAAATTAAAATGTCTAAAGAGTACATGTTACATCTACAGAACATGAAATAAATATAAAGACTAAAATTGAATAAAAATATTTATTAACAGAAGTTAAGCTTGATCTTGGCAGTATTCAGTCCAAATTTGAACTCGTTTTAGGCGAAGATAAGACCTCAAAACATACGTTCATCAGACGCTATTGTCGTTTTAAAGCAACGGGCAAAAGGGTAATTTAATCTCCTACAATTTACAGAAAGATTATGCTAATTGAATAAAACATTGATTAAAACTACAAACAATGCGTCCATTTAGGAATTAGTATTACTTTATTATGATTATACATCGTACAAATATAAAAATCAAATTAAATGTCACCCAGAGTGCATACGTATCTATATGTAATTACTCTAAGGGATGTCAATAGTGCCGTGTCGAATTTATTTTCCCGAAAACATTATAGAATTATGAGTGAACATTATTTGTATTATACAGATCCGTAATAGTTTGCTTTTGCAAAACAACAGTTTGCTATAAATGTTTACCACATCCCTAAAGTAACCGCGTTTTGTTTGAAACCGTACACGCCATTGTCCCTCTCAGGCATCGATCACTAATAAAGAACTAGTGATCGATGCTCTCAGGTGACAAGTAGTGTCGTCAATTTTATTTTAGGGATGCGCTTTGTTCGATAAAACTTGTTTCAATGGAGTTTAAATTTGATCTTAAAAAAATTACACATTCATTTAATAAATTAAACACCTTCATATATGGGAAATCGATTATAGTTGCAGTGATAAAGATTTATCGACATTTGGTAATACACCATCCTTAGCATTTTGTCGATATTTAATAGTAAACTAGCGCTTGGCATTCAAAGGGTTAAGAACTAGTCATGATCTATATATATATATATATATATATATATATATATATATATATATATATATATAAAGAAGACTGAAGAGTACAATCTGCCACTTTGCCTGGCATATGTGGACTATGAGAAAGCCTTTGATTCCGTGGAAATTTGGGCGGTGCTACAGTCTCTTCAGCGGTGCCAAGTTGACTGTCGGTATATCGAAGTGCTGAAGTGTTTGTACAGTAGGGCTACGATGGCTATCCGAGTACGGAACCAGAGTTCGAAACCTATCCTACTGCAGAGAGGTGTAAGACAGGGTGACGTTATATCCCCGAAACTCTTCACCGCTGCATTGGAAGACGTTTTCAAGCTACTGGACTGGAAAGGATACGGTATTAACATCAATGGCGAGTACATCACTCACCTTCGATTTGCCGACGATATAGTCCTTATGGCAGAATCGCTGGAGGACCTTAGCACTATGCTCTCAATGGTGTCTCCCAACGGATAGGTCTTAAGATAAACATGGACAAAACAAAGATCATGTTCAATGTTCATGTCACACCTATGCCAGTAGTTGTTGGGAGCACTATGCTCGAAGTTGTTGACGAGTACGTCCCGACTTACTTACCTGGGACAAATAGTCCGACTAGGTAAGTCCAACTTCGACCGAGAGGTCAATCGACGAATTCAACTCGGCTGGGCAGCGTACGGGAAATTGCGACACATCTTCTCGTCTGGTATACCTCCATCTCTGAAAACTAAAATGTACAACCAGTGCGTGTTGCCAGTGATGACTTACGGATCAGAAACATGGTCCTTCACTGCTGGCCGTATGAGGACGCTCAAGGTCGCTCAGCGAGCTATGGAGAGGGCTATGCTCGGAGTTTCTCTGCGTGATAGACTCAGAAATGAGGATATCCGCAGTAAAACCAGAGTGACCGACATAGTCCAACGGATTAGTAAGCTGAAGTGGCAATGGGCCGGCTATATAGCTCGAAGAACCGATAACCGATGGGGAAGAAAGGTTCTCGAGTGGCAGCCTCGTACCGGTAGGCGTAGTGTAGGGCGACCCCCCACTAGATGGAGTGACGACCTGGTAAGACATGCAGGAAGTCGATGGATGCAGGTGGCTCAGGACCGTGCTTTGTGGCATTACTTGGGGGAAGCCTGGATGTTCAGCAGTGATAAGACGCTGTTGTAACTTTAATGATGATGATGATGATGATATATATATATATATATATATATATATATATATATATATATATATAAAGTACAACAGGCGGTCTTATCGCTCTGTTTAATCATTGTTTAGAAAAGAACTGTTTTTTACAGCGAATTGCCAATAGGGAATGTGTATATAAATTTGAAAATTAATTAAAAAATATTTTAAGGGATTGAGCACGTCGAATATATAAAGGCAAGGAGTTCTACAAGCGTACAGCTGTAATCGAGAATAATTTATTGAAGAAGGAGGACGAATGTGCTGGAATACGAAACGAAAAATTGTTAGTGCAACGTAGACGACGATTGTGACAGGAGGCGATGAATTCAAAGCAGTCTCCCAGCATCTTTTTACATTTGCTTTATCATCTATTGCATCCGTGATTTGTTTTAATAAATCGTCGCTTTTTTCAAAATTCTGATTTTCACCTCTTTGTTAAACCACTTTAAAATCGCTTTAAATTAATTTATATTTTAATTACATTTTAATCCTACTTTCAAAGAAAATATTTCAAAACTTCGGACGCCTAAAACACTCCTAAACAGGTCTAAAACTAAAGCTATGATATTATAGATTTAGACTAAAGTTTATTTTGGTATTTTAACTTTTGTAAATCAGTTTTTGACTAAAATTTCGCCTCGGGGTGAGTAGTTGTGGAACTCTAGATGGTAAAGCACATTGTTATAGCGTAGAAAAGCCTATTCATTTTTGGTTTGAAGAACAAAGACGATAAACGCCGGCAGTCTATTTCACTTCTTTGCTGTACGCAATGTGAAAGATCAAGAACACTATCTAGGTCGAATGCGTGGAATATCAACAACAAAAATTTGAAGATTCCCCGACCACCTGGTTGTATGTTAGTGGAAGGCTGATGATGGAATTAGGGTATTTAATTGCTGCGCACGCTCTCTGAATTGCATCCTATAAAATACCAGAGGCTGGCTACTTTGCGCAAGGTTAGTTTCAAACAAATGAAGGTCACCAATAAGTCCAACGCTGCTAGGTGTCCACGCACATGCACCACCGTGCTTACGCTTTATATAAAGTAAGAAGCTACCTCGGTGTGAAGTCCCACCGCACCCTGACAAGGATACCAAGTTTTCATGCAGCTAGCTGGTTTATCTCTAAAATTGTGTTTTCATCTGCGTATCCATTTCGGATATAAGCAGATTTATGTACATTAACATGCAGTGGGAAGAGAGTTAGGGATAGAACGGACCACTGAGAAACTCCGGCGTTAATCGTATCAAACGAGT